TCGCTTTTCCATTCTAATAATCCGATACACCTCAAAATATGCCCCCGATTCTAATAGCTCCCGGTGGTTCTAGAAGTCGTCCTCGTAATCGTCGTCCTCGTCCAATGTCATCTTAAGCTGAGGTAGGTTCATCAACTACCATCGAAACCGAAGACAGACACACATCAGATGTTTAGGCGCATTTTGAAAAGTTTTACGAGACAGAAAATGACGTTCAACTCAAGAAAGCGAGATGCAAATACTGTGGAAATATTTATAAAGCTGATTCAAGTAATGATATTAGTACTTTAAAAATGCATGCTAATAAACATATTAATCAACATGGAAATAGAGAAAGCAATCAAACTCAAATAACTAATATGGGTACTACTTGGCGTTATAATTCTGATGTATATAGGAAACAGTTAGCTTTATATATTGCTGTAACTGATTAACCTATTAATATGGCTGAAGATAAATATTTTGAAAGATTTGTTTAAAATTCATTTTTTCCAAGATTTAAAAGTTATTCTAAAACTGCAACTAGAAATGATTTAATAAAATTGTTTAGAAAAATGAAATTAGAATTAAAAAATAAAATACATACTTGTCATGTTGGTGTGATTCTAACTGCCGATATTTGGAGTGGTAGAGCTAAACAAGATTATATTTATGTGACTAGTCATTATTTTGATAATGAATGTAAATTAAATAAATCTTTATTAGGATTTAGATTAATGGATGTTGATCATAGTGGTCAACAAATTTATAATAAAATTATTGAAGTTTTAGAAGATTATGATATTGTTAGTAAAGTGATAAGTTTAACCTTAAATAATACAAGTTCTAATAGTAAAGCTATAGATTATTTTCAAAGTAATTAGCCTTTATATAACAATTTGAAGTTTTTTCACCAACGTTGTGCATGCCATATTATTAATTTAATTGTGAAAAGTGATATGAAAACAATTAAAGAAAATATTGATAGAATTAGAGATTGTTTAGCTTGGATTACTAGTAGTAATAAAAGAAATGGTAAATTTCAAGATGCTTGTATAAAATCAAATATGTCTCCTAGAACATTTGCATTAGACGTGCCTGTTAGATGAAATAATAATTATTTAATACTTGATTCATGTTTACCTTATGCTAATTTAATTAGTTATTTTATAGCAAATAATAGAGGTCCTCATTATTTAGTAGAAAATGATTGGCAAATAACTAAAGTATTTCATTCTTTTCTTAAAATTTTTTACCAATCCACTTTACAACTCTCTGGTGTGTATTACCCTACTAATCCATTGGTAATATATACAATTGTAAAAATTTCAGAGTTATTTACAAAAAAACAAAAACAACGAAATTTTAATAGAACCAATAAAGGCAATGAATTTTTTTTTTTTTAAATATTTTAAACCCATTTATTTTCTTTATTTTTTAAGTGTCATTTTTTATCCTAGAATTAAACAAGAAGGTTTAGAAAATGTTTTAGATACATTATCTGAAAATTTATGAAACTTAGCATTTCTCAATCAAATAGGAGATGTAAAAAATTGTCTTGTAGAGATATATTTCCAATACGAAAACAGGTATGGGAACCCGCAAAGACACGAAATACAAAGGGAAGTTTCAAATGAAGAAACAAATGAAGATTTCTACAACTGGAGTGCATTTAATAGGCCGAAGAGAAACTGAACCCGAAGCACAAGCACAACCTCCTATTCGGAAGCACCAACGACAACAATGAATCTACTGGCCGCCCTGCAGTCACAGAGTAACGAGCTTCAGCAATATTTGGGAACTTCTGAAATGTTACCAACAGATTCCACAACAAAGAGTCAACTTTGATGTTTTGAAATATTGAAAAACCAGAAAATATATTTTTCCGGTATTATCAAGACTTGCCTTGGATGTTTTTGCTGTTCCAGTGTCAACCGTCTCATCCAAACAAACATTTAGTACAAGTGGAAGAATTTTAAATGAAAGAAGGACTAAACTTTCACAAAAAATGATTGAAGTCCTCACATGTCTTCGAGATTGGGAATGGTCGCGCCATCACAGTCAATACGAGATTGTCGACGATATTTTAATAGAATCATTTCAATTTTATAATATAGATGATACGGATGAAGGAGGTCCTAATGAACCCCAAAATTAGTTGTTTTGTAAATTATAACTTGTAAATTAATTGTCAATTATTACACTCTTTTTTCCTTACCAAGTTTTTGTCCCATTGGGTTTTTCTTGGTAAGGTTTTTAAAGAGGCAATAATTATTGTAATTTCTTATTTTATTTTTTAATAAATGAATAAATTTAATTTTTCCTATATTACAATTTTAATGTATTAAAATTGAATTAATATTTGGAATATTAAAAAAAAAAAAAAAAAAAAAATTAATTTAATTTAATTATTGATATTTGAAAAGAAGTTAACTAAAAACAATTACATTTATTCATTTATAAATTATTAATTGTTCATTTGAAAAATTAATTAAACATTTAAACTTAAACAAAATAAAACAAAATAAAATAAAATAAAATAAATCAAAAAGAGGGTTAACCCAACCCAAAAGAGGTCCGGGTTGGGCCAGCCAATTCCCCAACATTGGCAGGCCTAACACGGCCTGCCAATGTTGGCAGGTGAGTCAGGTCCCACCCACCACTTTGTGCAACCCACCGTGGGTTGGGTCGGGCTAGGCGGACTGCTTTTCCACCTCTAGGCATTACCATAGAAGCATCGTCACTTGCTCTCACATTAACCATGTTTGTATCTATAGTTTTAGAATCCGCGGTGTCAATGCTTGAGACTACAATATATATATATTAGATTGACAACTTAAAATTAATATGTAATAGCCTGCAGCATTCATGAAGACAAAACCTCAATGTTTTACAATAAGTATTTCCTTGATCCATCAACATGGGAGCAAAGAAACTGAAAGAATGAATAGGCAAGGTAAAACACCCCACTACCCTATGACTGCATTACGGAGAGCATGGCAAGAACTAGACAGAGCACAAATTCCAACACTGGCTCGAACAGATAGCCTTTTATAGTCAAATCAATCTTTAGTCCAATAATCTTCTAATGGAAGATATAGTTACAATCATAATACATCTCATTACTGCACAGTTGCTAACATTAATGAAACAAGAAAATTTCAGGCTCGAAAATGGTAAAAGCAGTCATTTTTCCTATGTTATTTCCATAGCTATAATGCAGAATCAATTAACAAAAATAGGCTGTCTTGCGAATCATTAATTTCCAAAGACTTTGGAACCACACAACTGATTATGTGTTTATATCATATCATATTGAATGATGAATGATTATACACAAACAGAAAAAATGGTATTAGTTTCAGTACTTCAAATGCAGAGAAATGCCCAGAAATCACCTTTACATTTATTTGCTATTTATTAAAATACTAAATTTTCCTTTATACTTAACTGTAAATTTTTTTCTTTTAACTATTTGTGACCTTTCTTCAATTGCTGCTCATCCTAAACATCCAAACAGTCACTAAGACAAAGGGAAAACTATGATGAACTTAAAAGAAGGGGAATGCTGAAAAAGAAACAGAAAAACTATATGCACCAGCTACTCAAATCCAAACACATCGACTCAATTATGATCCATTTAAGTTTTCAATACTATTACCTTGATTAATAAAGGGGAAAATATTTCGTATATTCTACTTCAAAGTAAAAGAATAGACCATTAACCTAACCTAATGAAACATACCACATTTTCGATGAAATGCCTCAAACAAATAGTTGTCATGCCAAAACCAAAAGTAGAAACCGTAAGTTATACAGAGAATCAAGTCCATGCTTTCAATTCAAAATCAAACCAAAAAATTGGTTCATAAGAAAATAAATCACACCAACTGTTCTACGAAATGCCATAAAGAGGACAATGGCACAAACCTTGGTACCTGGCGCAGGAATGCTAGAATGCACATTCGATTCTTAAGAGCAGTCTCTTAATGCTAAAACAGGAAAGGACAGGACAACTTACTAAATGCCTAAAAATGCGACCCAAATGGGATGTCGTGTACAAGATGATGAAATGATCATGCGGCAGATTCATACAAGATCAAGATTCTCTAGTCAATCAAAGTTGTGGTGGGTTTGCCTTCCCAGTCCACAGTCCACCCAATGACTTTGATAAAAAGATTTACCACAGTCCACATAATAGTCTATACCTCCACTAATATCAACTTGACTGATAGAGACACTTATGGTGCAAATCATACATTACCATATGAAAGTGTAGACTATAGATATTACTAAATGCTTGAAGGTTCTATCCTCACATTAAAGGGATGCGAAAGCTACGGCAAATTAACCATCCAGAGCAAACACCAAACTACAGCAAATTAAGCATTCAGTTTCCACAAAACAACAAATTAAACATACTGGAGATGGTGACTGTGATAGTGACATTGTGAGATAGTGCGAAAGGAGAGTTGCGATGGTGAGAGAGGAGATGGCAATGACGACGACGACGAATTGAGACAGTGAGAAAGGAGAGTTGCAACGGTGAGAGAGAGGAGAGTTGCGACGGTGAGAGAGAGGAGATGGTGAGTTACGACGGTGAGAGAGAGGAGATGGCGAGTGGCGATGGTGAGAGAGAGGAGATGGTTGGCGACGTTGAGACTTGAGAGAGTTGCGTTGAGACTGAGAGTGAACCGATTTAGGGATTCAAATCCTTTATTTTTTTTTTTTTTTTTAATAATAAATGGGTAGCTGCGGCCTGCGGGCACCCGTGAGTACACTTATATAATCCATTGAAAATACGGGCCGGACCAAATATGGGTCTCAAAAAAATGGGTCTAATACATTAGACACACACTCTATATTTTTTACGGTCGAACCTGCGGGTCTGGACTCGTTTTGTAGGTCTATCACAGTATCCGTATTTTGCAAAAAATAAAATAAAATAAAAGATAATTATTTTATTTTGAAAAAAAAAATATTTATTTGTTTTGTAATGTAACTATAGGGTTTCAAAAAGAAAAAAAATCAAAAACTAACAAACCCAAAAAAAACTCAAAGAGCCGCTGACAGCAGCACACAACTCACACGACACGCCGGTATGACTATTGCACCACGCTCTAAATGAATGTCGGAGACAGCTATCGCTCTCTCATCAGTCATCTCTGTCACTCCCTAGTCCCTACTCGAAGTGCCGCCGCTCTCTCATCTCTTTCACTCGACTCACTCACTCCCAACTCCAAGCGCATGAAACCCAGCGACCAGTGTACAACCACCGTGCGACTCCACTGGGAGCTTCCACTATCTGTAACGCAACAACAACCAACAGGTGTTTTTTAGTTTTTGGTTTAAAATAAACGAACATTGAGAAGTTATGAAATGTTGTGATTTTTGTTTGTGGTTTAAAATATTGAGAAGTTGATTTGTTGTGTTGGTTGGATGTAATGTTGAAATGTTGAGATTGAGAAGTGTTGAAATGTTTTGTTCGCCATTTTCACCTGCCCTACCCACCACCTACTTGATAAATTGCCCAAACCACTCTCAAAGTCTCACCATCATAATTCATACACACTGTACTTTGCCTACTTTCATATTTTGAATTTTTTTATTAGACTTTTTCACTTGTGTCTTGTGTGCAAGGATTGAGCTGCTGTAACTCTAACAAATGATTGGATTTGTTTGTTTGATTGTGACTATAAATTTACACTCTCACGTTTTGAAAAGGTGTGTATTAACTATTAAGTTAATGTTAAACACTCTGATAATTGAATAAAGGTCAAATTAATGAATTATACATGGAGAGTAACAGACTTTGCAGCCAACCAATCCCTAAAGCTAAACATCTTTGAAGAGACTTTTATTAATTTTTAAGTTACTGAGGAGGAAGAGTGAACCTATCTAATTTATTTATTTTTTATTTTCCTTATTACCAATTGATGACTGTATTTTTTGTCAATGTATTTCCCTTCAATCAAAGGGTATTTGAACTCCTTCAGTATCATCCAATTATTTAAAGAAGATCACATCTTTGATGATAGCTAAGCATAACCCTAGTATTTCAGTTTGATGATATTCATTCATTTTGAACTCATCTTTGTTGATTAACATGGAGGAGTCTCAGTCTATAGATATGGTTAATGTGAGAGAAAGTGATGATGCTTCTAAATCTAAGGTAATGAAACCTCCTACCCATACTAGCAATATTGCTCCTATTCCTAGAAGTAAACGTAAAACTTTAGATATTTGGAATTACTTTGATACATACTTTGATGAGAATGGGAACGAGAGGGCAAGGTGTTTGAGTTGAAACAAATCCTATGAATGTGGTAGTGTCTTTCATGGGACTAAAAATTTGAAGCATCATATTGGAGATTGTGTTAAACGTGTCAACAAGGATGTAGGGCAATTAATTATTGATATTGAGCATAGATTGCACAGTACCAAGGTTTTTCAAGAGACTTATCGTGAGAAGATTACATTATCAATTATTAAACATAATTTGCCATATTCATTTGTGGAGCATGATAGAATTAGGGATGTCCATTTCCATTTGAATAAGGAAGTTAAGCTTTATACCAGGAACACTGCTAAGGCGGATTGCTTAAAAATATATATAAGGGAGATAGAAAAAATTAAGCTTGAATTAGGGAGGGTTTCTAATAAAATATGCTAAACTTTGATTTATGGAGTTCTTGCACGACTAATGGGTATGTTTCTTTAATGGCTCATTACATATATGAGAATTGGGTGTTACAAAGTAGAATTCTCAACTTGTGCCATATGCCTCCTCCACACTTAGGGGTGCTTTTGGCAGAAACATTGTTTGATTTATTTAACAGAACGGGGAATTGAAAGGAAGATTTTCTCTCTTACTTTGGACAATGTGAGTAATAATGATAAGATAGAAGATATTTTAAGGAGATTTGTGTGCAAAATGCATTGTTATGTAATGGTGATTTCTTCCATGTGCGATGTTCTGCACATATCTTGAATCTTATTGTTCAAGAAAGGTTAAAAATTACTAGTATGGCTCTGCATAAGATTCGAGAGAATGTGAAATATATTAAAGACAATGAGAGTAAAAGAATCAAGTTTGGAGAACTTGCTGTTCAAATTAGTGTGAAAAGCTCAATGGGATTGCGAATGGATGTTCCCACTAGATGAAATTCTACTTTTTTAATGCTTGAAAATGCGTTAATATATCGATCTATGTTTGTGCATTTGTCTTTGATAAATCCCAATTATAAAGATTAGTGCCGTGGGTGGGGGGGTTGAAAATGAAGTTCTTAGTAGCATGGCAAATCAAATGATCCCAAAATTTGCAAAATATTGGGATTCTTATAGTGTTGCATTAACTATTGCAACAATTCTTGACCCATGTTTAAAGATTCAGTTTGTGGAGCATGCTTACAAAAAAGTTCATGACTTACCTACTACCCAAAGAAAGATAAAGGTTGTTAAGAAGAACTTGTATAAACTTTTTGAAGCTTACAAGGTACAATGTCCCAAAGAAGTTCCCGGCATCGCCTTTTAAGATGCTTTTCTTGCGAGTCAAAATTATTATACTTTTTAGATGTCAAAATTATATTTGTGTAAGTCAATATACTTTTTTATATTCTTGTGATTAATAAAGTATTGTTTATTGTGTAATTTTAACTTTTGATGCTTAACTATTTAAATGGTGTAGGATTTTGACAACTATGAGAGTGAGTTTAGTGCTACCAGGAAGTCTGAATTGCTCTTTATATGGAAGAGCCAAGGTTTGATCGCATCAAACATCATAATATGGAGATTCTCTAACATTGGAAGACCAATTTTGACCGTTATTTGACACTTGCCATTATGGCTCGCGACATCATGAGTATACTAATAACATTTGTTGTTCAGAGTTCGCTTTTAGTATTGGCAGCAAAGTGCTCAATAAATATTGAAGCTCACTTAAACTAGATAATGCACAATCTTTGTTATGCACTCAGACTTGGCTATATAGATATGAAATTAAAGGTAACATGTTAACTCAATATTTCATATGTTTTATTATTTTCTTTTACTAATATTTATAGTTATTAATTGTAGATGATGATGAGAATGATGATGAGCTTCATGTGCCATTAACTAATTCGAGCATTGTGGAATCAAGAAACTCTATTCACACCACCATCGATCCATCGTGAAATCAACATGAGCTAGCCAAGAATATTTTTAATTAAAACAATGCCAAGTTAAATTTATATTATATTTTTGTATTTCGAATTTTGTGTTTGTGTTTTAGTGTTTATGACTTTATGTATTTATTTTCTGTATGCTTGTTGGTTTTAAATTTGATAAGAAATTGAGTTGGTTGTGAACTTTTTTGGTGAATTGAATTGAATATGAAGTATTTGATCGTGGGGGTGTAATTGCATAAAAATGAAAATTGTAGTGATTGTGGGGGTGTAATTACAAAAATTGAAAATTGGAGTGAGAAAATGTGGGTCGACTTATACTCGTATAAGGTAGGGTAGGGTAAGGGTTCAATATTTTGGACTCATATAGAACTAGTCTGTTTTAACCTGTACTTGTTTTACTCGGCCTGCATCCACCTAACTCACCCGTTTGCCAAGTCTAGTTGAAGAGTTGAAGATGGTTGGAATTGTTTTTTGGTTTCGCTGTTGCAGTTAGATTTGATGGTAGTGGGGCAGTGATGGTTTGGTTTCATGGGTTGAGGTCGGTGCTTGGGTTGATTGGGATAGGTTATTTTCTCCTTTTTGGATTGATGATGACATGATGAATGGTTACTTGTCAATGAATTTTCTGACAGTTGCTCTATAATGAGCAATTTTTTAGATTAGAGAGTGGTTCTAATACCATGAAAGTTTGAAGAATTGTGTTTTTAATTCATTGATATTTTAGTAAGAGTTACAAGCTTTATATATGATGGATACAATCTACGGAATCTTCTAATTATGTCAATTACAATATACAGACATAATTAGGAGATTACAGGATATCAAAAATATTATGAGTATCTTAAAACTGACAAGATAAAAAGATTATGATACATTTAGGAAATATTGTCGAAATCTCAATAAGAACTATCAATAGGAATCTTTGACATTATATTTGGTCCTGGTTTCATCTTCCACTCGGGAGCTGCATTTACTTGTCTCACCACAAGTGTCGCAAATGGGCTCAATGTTTTTGAACATATGATAACTACACTGGGGGATCACTGTGATTTTCATAATCTTGTGAGAGTTTCGACGACTCACCACTGTAGATTGTTTTAACTTTGCTATATGAACAAACCAAATTTTGATGATTTTCCATCAACGACTTTTCATTTCAATGGAGCAGACTACGTAGTAGATGGCAGGTTTGTGAACATTAATGCATTATGATGAAGGATTTTATGTCTAGCATTATTAGCCACTCAATCGCATATGCAAAATATGCGTCTCATTCAATTCCTAATGTTGGAATCAATGCCCAGAAGAATGTGCTAATGATCATTTTTAGAATGTCGTCGATGGTTTATGCAACTACTTGTAATGCCATGTTTCACTATCTAATCAATGATGGTTCTCTTGAAGTGTAAATCTGTGATTCACCTTGTTTTCTTTGTGTAGGTTGTTCTCTTGGGTCTATCCAAGGTACTTGCTTTCGTTTAGGGATGATTCGAGTCTATTAGATTGTATTTTTTATTCTTTATAAAATTACCTTTACCCAAAAGAAATCGATAATTTTTGCAGGAAATGAGCAAGAGCTACTAATAAAAGTTACTCATATAGTTTATTTTAAAACAAAAGTTAAAATTAAGCCAAAGTTGTTCCTCTCAAATTCAAGTAAATTAATCTTTCGATAATCAGCTGCTTCGCTCCAATTTAAAAATAGACAATGAGCATAGTATCAACAAAACAGCCAAATATATATATAGTTAATAATAGCCAGATAAATGCTTCCCAATAAGACTTCGATGCTGTGACTTGTCTTTTGAAATTTCCAAATTATGATTTTATGTATTAAATAAAGTAACTTTTCAAGTTTTTTCGAGGTTGGTTCAGTGTATATATGAAACATTAATCCTTAATTACAACAAAAAAGAAAATGAGTAAAAACTTTTCTCGTGTAAATTTTTATATTAGAGAAAGAAAATTTCTTGTCTTTTAAAATATGTCTTCCATTTTATAAAACACTACCAGGCAAGAAAAACTTTGTGATTCATGTGGCAAAGACTTTATATACTTATTAGAAATAAATATATATTTTTGAAAAAGACATTTTTAGCTTTTAATTTGAATAAAATCCTCATTTTTAAACAAGGGCGGAATTAATAATAAAGTACATATTTAATATAATAAGTTTTGTCTTTGAAAATGTATAGAAAGAAGGAAAAAGGAAGACAATATTCATTTTGAAATTTTATATTATAATATGAATTTATTGCAATCTTTTGTAAAGAAACAAAGTTATTTTTTTTGTTTAAGATTTTAGAAAGCAAAGGAAGATGAGAATGAAAACAACAGAATTATTAACAAATTTTAAACATTTTTAGACATCATAGGTTGTATCAATATTTAACATCAATATATTTCTATTTTAAAAACATCTAACATCAACCATATTGGATATTATTAATTGAAAAAATAATATCATTTTTTCCCTAACTAACAAATAATAGTTAAGGTTGTTGGGACCATTATTATATGTAGTTGAATTGGGGACTCAATTCCTTACCCTGGAAAACAATGGAGGGGCTTCAGTTCTTCAAAATCGCTTTTGTATTGCAAAGTCTAGTCATATTTTCTAGACATAGTTTTGGTTTTGCAGCAACAAAATCAAAAGGAGTTAGCATTAAGCTCATCCCAATAGACTCTCGGGAGTCCCCCTTATATAAACCTAACCTTACTCCCCGCCAAAAAATTGAGAGAATGGTTAATGTTACCCTGGCTAAAGCTAAACTGACAAAATTGCGTTATACGCAAAATTCGACATTCGATGATGACAAGCATTTTTCTGCTCTAGACCGTCAAGATAAGTTCTATATTGCGCAGATGTTAATCGGAAACCCAATTCAATATGTGTATGTACTGGTGGATACTGGTGCTTCGCTATTTTGGACACAGTGTCAACCTTGCAGAGAATGTTTCCACCAAAGTTATCCCATTTACAATCGGCGAGCTTCCTATACTTACCAGAAAATTCCTTGCAATCACCCTCGTTGTAACTATGGTGAACCAGGCAGCATTTTCCAATGTGTTAATGGAAATTGCGTCTACCGTCTTGGCTATGGTGATAGTACATCAAACAGCCGGACACAAGGTTTTGCATCTTTCGAATCATTTCGTTTTTTAGTGAACGACAATGGTGATACGGAAACATTTACTCTTCTCTTCGGCTGCTCCATTCGTAACCTACATTTCGGTTTTGCTAACGATGAAGACAACAGGATTTCTGGGATCTTGGGATTAGACTTAAATCAAAATTCACTAGCGTCCCAATTGTCAGATGTCTTCTCTTATTGTATTGTTCCCTATGATGATAATTATCCATTCGATGTACATCCTCATAAACTGAGGTTTGGGGCGGATGTTTTTATTCCTCCACATAGCATTCCAACAACGAACTATGTAAGGGTTGAAGGTAAAAATTATTATTACCTTCGTCTTTTAGATATAAGTGTGGGAGGTTCTCGCTTAAATTTCCCACCAGGTACCTTCGAACCTTCCCCTGCTAGTGGATTTTTTATAGATTCAGGAACTCCATTTACCACACTCACCACAAGTTCCCCGAACGGGCTCAATGTTTTTGAAATGGTGAACACAGCATTTAGTCGATACTATGATTCTCTTAATCTTGCGAGATATCATGCTCATCCCGATGATGTATTCCGAGTTTGTTATAGGAACCGACGAAATTTTAGAAATTATCCATCAATGACCTTCCATTTCCAAGGGGCAGACTACCAAGTAGATGGAAGGTTTGTGAACTTTCGATATCCTGGTGACCGACATTTCTGTGTAGCAATAATGGACGATGAAAGCATTTCTATTCTAGGAGCTTATCATATGCAAAATATGCGCATAATTCATAATGGCCAAATCAGAGCACTTCAGTTTTTCCCAGTAAATTGTGCTGGAGATCATTTTTAGAATTTCGATATTGGTCTCTATAATATTCTAAAGCCATGTTTCATATTCTAAATAAGCAATAAAACTGGATAGAAATATGAATAATACTACACATACATCATTCTCATACAACATTATGTGGCAAGATATGATTGGATGAAAGTTTAATTTTAACTTTAAATTAGCCAATCATATTTTGCCACATAATGTTGTATGGGAAATATTGTATGAAAATGATGTATATATAGTATTACTCTAGAAGTATAAATGTAACTAGGGTTAAAGCCCGCTTGTTGCGCGGGTATGTTTATAGAATTGTATTTTAAAGAATTGTTGTTTGTTGTGTGGGAAAGCATAATTAGTAAATAAGTTTATCGATAATATATTGGTTTTTATGAATTGTTTTTGAACTTAATGTGAGAGTAGTTTTGTAAATATAAATGGTTTGTATTGAAGTTATTTTAATATTGAATGGATAATTAAAGCAATAAATAATAAAGAAATTATATACCAAATAATTAAGTAGTATTAAATTTATACGAATTTAAAATAAGTATAAAATTAGAATGGAATGACAATAAAACGGGTATGTTTATTACTTGTATTTCAAGTATTGTTGTTTGTATATAATATAGTGTTTTTTGTGAAAGTGGCTTTGATACCATATTTGTTTGAAGAATGGGATGTTTCAATTCGTTGATATCTACTGTAAGAAGCAGGCAAAGAGTGGCAGGGACGCCAGAGAATGACAAGAGAAAGAAAGAAGAAGAATTTCTGCATTTCTATATATCTTGTAAGCCTGTACAATGGCTAATTTAAACAAATTCTGTAAACGTGGAAAAAGAAAATAATAAACACAAATCCCTGTAATTATTCAATCAATCACATAAATTAAGGTGTTTGATTGAATGCCAAAATTATTCCTTGATCTTAACCAGTAGAGATCAAGGTAAAGTTGTAATGAAGAGGCATTCCATATTTCATCACTCTCTCTCAAGCTTATGGTTTGTAGATACCAAAAACTCCAAGCTTATGGTTTGTGAAAATGTCTACTGGTTGTTCTGAAGTACGAATGTGTAAAGTTTTAATTACCCCTTCTTGCATTTTGCTCCTGCCAAAGTGGCAATCAATTTCTATATGTTTTGTTCTTTCATGGAATACTGGATTTGCTGCTATGTCGTTTGTAGCCTTATTGTCACAATATAAAAGAATATGCTTTCTTACTTGTACTTCTAGATCTTCCAACAACCCAGAATCCAGATGATCTCACATGTTGTCTTTGCCATGGCTCTATATTCGACTTCTACTGAAAAAAGAGATATATATTGTTGATTGTTTCTTGTTTTCCAAGAAATAAGAGCTCCCCTTAGCTCGATGCAGAAGCCTATAAGTGATTTTTTTGTCACTGGACATGTGGCCTAGTCTAAATCACAATGAGCTGTGATATCCAAATCTTTGTCTCAAGGAAGGAGGAGTCCTAAACTAGGACACCTTTTAAAGTATTTTAAAACCTTTATCGCTGCATCCATATGAGATCGTTTAGGTCCATGCATGAACTAACTGAGAATGTGAACTGCATAATTGATGTCTAGACAAGTCAAGGTGAGGTAGATCAATCGCCCAACAAGTCTTTGATAGTTTGTGGCATCTAGCAAAGGTGGATCATCTTCAGAGGATGGTATCCCACTATCATATTCCTAAGTAGTCAATTTGGTGTTTTATTCTACTGGAATAATACTTGGCTTGCATCTTGATAGCCTAGAATCAGAAAGGGGTTCCAAGACATATTTCTGTTGGCTAAGAGATATTACTATCGAGGATCTTGCAATTTCAATACCTAGAAAATATTTAGGCTCTTCTAGATCCTTTATTTGGAACTACCTATTGAGATGCTCTTTCAAGGATTTAATGCCTACTTCATCATTTCCTGTAATAAGAATGTCATCGACGTAGATGATTAGAGCAATGAAAGTTTTACCTTTGTATCAGGCAAATAATGCATAGTCATGTTTAGACTAAACATATCCTATACCAGTGAGTGCTTTGTTGAATTTCTCATTCCATTGCCAAGATGCTTGTTCTAGCCCATAAAGGGATTTTCGTAGATGACATATTGTGTTCTCCCCCTGGTTGCAAAATCCCGGAGCAAGATCCATATAATTTTCCTTATGAAGATCACTATGAAGAAAGGCATTATGAACATCCATTTGATGGAGATACCAGTCACGAATAGAAGCCACTATAAGGAAAGCATAAACAATGACATATTTGGCTACTGGTGAGAAAATCTCCTGATAATCAAATCCCTTATATTGGGTGAATCCCTTGGCTACCAATCGGGCTTTGTAATGTTCAATGGAGCCATAAGCATGATGCTTAATTATGTAGACCCATTTATAGCCAATGGGTTTTCTATGAGAGAGGCGAGGCAAGGCATAAGATCCCAAGTATGATCCTAAGTTAAAGTAGTAAGTTCATTAGCCCTTGCTTGATGCCAATGAGAGTGCTCCACAGCATCTGAGTAACTAATAGGTTCTCTGTCGGTGGTGATGTGACTAATACAAGCTCTGTGTACAGCAGAGAGACGATCATAACTCACATAATTGGAGGTAGGATACAATGTACCTAAAGAATTTGAAATGGTGGGGCACTTATAGTCAGCTGTCTAGATCGGTGACCAAGTCTGTCGAGTACTCCGGTGTGTAGGAACAATTAGAACCGAAAAAGAGATCCTGATGGAGAAATAGCAAGAGGGATCTAAACAGGTGATTCTGTTGGATGATCAGCAGTGGTTGTTGTAGGGAATTGTGTCATGGCAAGCATGAAATTAAAAAAAAAAAAATTCCATGGCACAATCCCTTTACCCAAGATCACAATACGATAAATTAATCCACATAAAATTATCCATACAAGATAGAATTTATACCTTCGTTGGTAGCTCCTTATTTGGATATCGCTATTGACCCAACGTAGGATCGATTTCTATGGTATCCTCACGAAAGTAGGCTCAGGATCAACCTAGGATTGATTGCTAGACCAATCAAAGGGCTTGAGGGAGTAGGAGAAAATTTAAAGAGAGAACTCTTTAGGGTTGGTGGCGGGTAGGGTTTTTGGGAAAGAAAAATAATTTAATTTTGGTTAAACTATTCAGCAAAAATAATTAGTAAAAACTAACTCTCTAAAATCAAAATCCATGCCCCTTTATATAGTGCAATTCCAAATAGGAATTCAACTAGGATTGCAATCCTTGAATTCCCATCTTAGAAAGATTGCAATAATCCCAAAGGGATAATAATATCTCTTAGGGGTCATTTGGATCGGGTTGATATTATATAATGGGGGTAATATATTTTAAATTGGGTAGATAACCATGTTTGGTTGTTTTGTAAAAAAACCTTCCCCCCCAAAAAATGTCAAATAGTGCCAAATTGGAGGTAAATCGTCAGGAATAATATTACCTGGGGGGAGGGTATTATTAAATATTACTCTGGTAGTCCAAAAATTTCTGTCCAATTTTGCCCCAAAATAGTGGACAATGTGGATGAAAATATCCTTAGCTTTGTTAATAATTACAAAACACCCAATTTGCACAAGAGGACAGATTTGTCCTCACCTTTTTAATTTTTTAGACAAAATTGCCCTGCTTATTATCAATATATTCAAAAATGCCATGAAATATTGGTGTGCCCATATTATCCTCACATATTTGCATATTGTGACCAATATGCCCTTTTATTTCACTAAAACTACAATATAAAAAGAAAAAAATTCTCAGCCATATTACACATTTCGATCGAGACTCTACCCTAAACCTCCATCGCCACCACTAGTCTTTATCTTCTAGATCTTGTTCGCGACTTCATCACTCCGATCGCCATTTTCCAGTAAGTCAAATTATCTCTTTCCATTTTATTTTTCATTTTGGGTTTGTTTTACATTCGATAGTCTCAAATCTCGCTCTTATCTTTGCTGTTGGTCGACCATCTTCACTGCAGTACCTCAGGTCTTCATCTCCATCTGTTTGATCTGGACAGCATTCCAATCACCATTTTCGGTAAGTCCCTTGCCCTCTTTTCATTGTATTTTTTGTTTTCTGTTTTGTTTGCATTCGTTAATCTAACTTCTCCCTCTTCCCTCTGCCATTGGTCGACCATCTCTGTCACAGCAACTCGAGTCTTTATCTTCATCTATTTGATCCTGACAACACTCCAATCATGGATTTTGGTACGTTCCTCGTCTTCTTTATACTGTTTGATGAGTACCCTATTGAGAGGGTTGCTTTGGTTGTTTGTGTTAATGCGTTGATTTTTTGCTGTGTAGTGGTCCGTGAGATATGAATTTGTGATTTAATGTGTGTTACTCTTGACTGAATGTATACTAAAAAATTAATGTAAGTTATGATATTTCTTTTCAATTTCCGTTGTTATCTGTCTTCTATAACATATGCGAACTCCCTTTTTTCCTTCTTTGCCTTTTATTTTTAGCATGAGCATAAAATTATGTATATGATCTTTTATTATACAAAAAACTTACAGGGAATTAGTAGTGTATGTGTATATGTGGGTATAATATTTTATTTGAGCTGAGTGTACAACCCATTTTTTTAGGAGCCTCCCCATTTGCTCTTACCGCCCATCTTTGCCACAACAGCGAGTTGTACATGCAGCCAATTTTGTGTGTGTAGTTATGCACATTATGTGTTTGTTGGGATTTGTCTTTCTATCTTCATCTTTCTTCTTTCCAACACAATACATTTTGTTGATTCATTGCTGACACACACATGTACATTCATTCATTTATTCATTAATGCACAAAATTATATATCCTCATCCACTTCTTTTCTTCTCAATAAGGAGTGTTTAATTTGTTTTTTTTTTTTTTAAAACAATGGTTTTTTGTTTAGGATTATTGTCTTGTAACATGTTTTGCAATCATTTTTCTTCCTCAACCCGCATTCCACTGATAGTAGAATTCGACACTTGTTTTGTCTTTCAACGCTCATCATTCTTTTCCCAACCCAT